GCTACACAGATGGGACCGTGTAGCTACTTCCAAACCCCCACATACCATGCTGTGCAATCATCCAGGGCCTTGACATCTGCTACCTTCTGCTTGGAATTCCTCGTCCGTCTTCTTACTCTGGAACACTCTGACTTACAGTTGAAGCTGCAGCTCAAGGGCTGTTTTCCTTCTGTGAATTATCTAGGCAGGCTTTAGGGCTTCTATGCTAGCAATTTTAAAATTTGAATTATTTGTTTTATTAATTAGTACTTTCAAACTAGGGTGTAAGCTTCTTGAGGGTGTGGACTATGATGACTCTCATTGTTGTATCTTTTTTTTTTTCAACACTTTATTTATTTATTTGAGAGGTAGTGAGAGGGAGAGACAGAAAGAAAGGTCTTCCACTCACTGGTTCACTCCCTAGATGGCCGCAACAGCCAGAGTGGCACTGATCCAAAGCCAGGTGCCAGGAGCTTCTTCCAGGTCTTCCAGATGGGTGAGGGGTCCAAGCACTTGGGCTATTTTCTACTGCTTTCTCAGGCCATAGCAGAGAGCTGGATTGGAAGAGGAGCAGCTGGGACTAGAACCAGAGCCCATATGGGATGCCAGCGGTGCAGGTGGAGGATTAACCTACTGTGTCACAGCGCTGGCCCCTGTTGTATCTTCTTAATACAGGGACTAGCATTTAGTTGGCACTTGAATGAATGAGTTATTTAATAAGGCTAGAATCCTGGCTAGGGCTTAAACTTAAGCCACAGATTTTCATTTAAGTATCTTAAAAATGTTTATAGTAAATATATAATTCATGAAAGCAAACTGAAGAACAAAAAAATTCACTGATTTCTGGTTTCTGCTCAAATGTATGATATATATATGTGTGTGTATGTATGTTTACATATTTATATTTTATACAGCAATAATTAAAGTATACATGCCTTTTTTTTTTTGACAGGCAGAGTGGACAGTGAGAGAGAGAGAGAGAGAGAGAGAGAGAGAAAGGTCTTCCTTTGCCGTTGGTTCACCCTCCAATGGCCGCCGTGGCCAGCACGCTGCAGCCGGTGCACTGCGCTGATCCGATGGCAGGAGCCAGGTACTTATCCTGGTCTCCCATGGGGTGCAGGGCCCAAGTACTTGGGCCATCCTCCACTGCACTCCCTGGCCACAGCAGAGAGCTGGCCTGGAAGAGGGGTAACCGGGACAGAATCTGGTGCCCCGACGGGGACTAGAACCTGGTGTGCTGTGACAAAAGGAAGACGATGA